AGTAAGTTAGGGTTCCTTAAAATGTCAAGGGTGCTTTAAAGTATGTTTTTACAACTTGACAGAGTCTGGGGAGAAAAGAGGCTGAAAACTAAAGTGTTAGGATCTGCTGCCAATTGAAAACGAATCACAAATGAAGATAAATCAGCCCTGAGCATATGATATGGAACAATGGGAAAATATTATCAGAATTGTAAAAATTGGATTTGCATGCAGCTTTTCAGAAACATGGCTTTGCCAGCATAAATTGAAAGAAGCAGACTGACTCATCTAAGAGGAGGGAAAATCAGCCTAAGATTCCAAACATGTATGTCAGGAGATGATTATTAGACGTGCTTAAAGAAAAAAGCTCTGTTTCACAAAGTGTACCCGACTAACACTTTCTTTGCTGTGAAGAATTCCACATCGCATTTATAAAATGAACTACAGATGCACTAATTTATAAGATGTACCAACTGTCAAGACCTGCAAAGTATCAATAGCACTATGAATAACACCATTTGCGAAGTATCTGCTGCTTACATTCATTCCATGCACACAGGATTTCTAATACTTGTAAATGAGGACACTGTTCAGAGCATTCACACAGCTTGCCGCAGGCCACACAGCTATTAAGTGGCAAGCTGGGGTTCAGGCTCGGTTTGCCCTGGCCTTAAACACACCTGCTTTGTCATGGCCTCAACATGTCTTATAAACAGAAAATTGAACATTGGCCCAATAGAGGCATCCTGCTTGTTGGGAGGAAGAGACTTAGCCCCAGAGAGAAATGTTGCCAGTTTGAGCACAAGTCACAATTTCTCAGGTGGAAGGAAGCAATTTACTGAATGACATTTTTAAGAAGTCAGTTTTATTTTTCTGGTTACAATTTTTCTAACTGAGATGTGATTCATATAAAATTCACCATTTTAAGGGGTCCAATTTCAGTGGGTTCTGTTACATTCACAAGGTTGTATAGCTGTCACCATTATCTAAGTCCAAAAAGTTTCCATCCTCTCCAAAAACAACCCCCAAACCTGTTAAAGTCACTTCCTGTTCTCCGTTTGCCCATCTCTCTGAAGCTTCTGGCAAATGTTTGCCTTTACGTCTCTAGGATTGGCCTATTTTAGACATCTCGTGTAAGTGCAGTTATTACAGTACGTGTCCTCTTGTGTCTGGCTCCTTTCACTTAGCGTAAGATTTTCAGGTTCCTCCATGTCATAGCAGGTACCAGAAATCCATTGCTTTTCATAGCTGGAAGACATCCCATTGTACGGACGTGCCACATTTTGTTTATCAGTTCATCTGTTACTGAGTGACATTTCAGTGGCCCTCTGGATTTTATTTCAAGGAGTTTGGCATATACCATAACAAGCAGCAGAAGGAAGGTCTTGCGCTGCAGGATCGATACCTGATGGTACGCTGCAGCAAGAAGTGAAGCTCCCCGGGGTCTTTGTGTTGTCCCCAGAATGACATGGCGTCTCCTGACCATGACTTTCCAGGCTAGTGTGCCCTTCAGGTCACTCATTCACTGAGTTCCAGCTGCTGTTTGTTCATTTCTCAAGCATGGCATCTCTTCCACCGCAGGATCACATGTGTTCTGTTCTCTGCCTGGAAGTCTCTGCCTCCAGCTCCTGCCTACCTGGTAGCTCCTTCTCCACCTTCAGGTCTCAGCCCAGATACTGAGAGAGCACAGCTGACCACCTGTCTGAAACAGGCCTGCCTAACCCTCAGTCTCTCCTTGCATTTTCTTTCTATCCCTTTAAGCTGCATCTCCTCATTTATGATTCTGCACTTGTGTTTACTCGTTTTATGTAGGTCTCCTCCACTACCCTTAATGCCATTGACAGGGACCAATTCTGCTCCTTTTACTTTGTGTCTAAGGCCCAGCTGCAGCACAGCTTAGGACAGATGTGACTTCTGTCACACTCTTAGGGGCAGATGCCCCCCAGAGCATTGCCTGTGCCTCAGTGTCCAGAGCTTAATGCGTGCCGTGGAATGAAGATTTTCAAGGATGTGCCTGCCTTGGTTGCGTAGCTCCTCTTCAGCTGGTAAAGAGTCCTCAGCTATGCACACACTGAGTGGGAGACAAGGACAGTGCTCAGACAGGTCTCCACCCTCTGGCTGGCCATCACACAGTGGACAGAGCACTTTACTGCTGAGGGCTGCGTGCACCAATGGGCAGTGTAGATGCATGCTACAGCAAGCCAGGAGGGAGCCGAGCTGACTCAGGGAAGAGCGGGGCAGATGTGTTGCCTGAGCTTGGCATGGAAGGATAGAGGAGGAGGGCAGGGGGCATGGCAGTGGACACCCAGCGATTGGGTGTCAGATCCCAGCTTGGAAGCCACACCAGCCAGAGCTCACCTAGCACCTACTCTATGGATACCACCTGCCCTTTTGGGGTGAGGCCTTCCTTTAGAAAGGGGCTAAAGTTTGATTCCCATCAGAAAATCATGAATACATAATCAGATAGCTCTAAATGAAGTGAATGGTTTGCTTTCAACCTTGCAAGGTTTTGAGAGTCTAATCTTAGAATTTGTGATCAAAAAGTTGCAAACGTGTACCATATTGTAATTCCTTAGATCCAACGGTGAAGGACTCTGTTGTAATTCTCCTTTTTAAGATGATCTTTTTTTCTCTTAGAGGAAATAATGACCTACATAAATATTGTATGCTTCAATTTCTGAAAGGAAAATATTACCCCATGCCCATTTATTTTAGAAAGGTAGGATTTGTTCCCCTGCAAACAAAAGCTTTGAGCTGCACGTCGGTCCAGACACCCCCAAGTACTTCAAAAATTTGAGGGTTGGAAATCGTGGAACAGATTTCATAAATGTAGTAGATGAAATTCTCAACCAAAAATTCACTGTCATGTCATATCTCGTAGGAAAGGCTTTATCTACACATGCCCTCTTGGTATTCTGTGCTATGGTTTCGTCTAGTAGTACATTGGTTCTTATATTCATAGATAATGGAAACAGGCTCTTTTTCCTATACGGTTTTTATTTCTGTAGTTTACGTATCTCACCTGTTACTAGAAAACATTGTTCAGTTATATGTACATGTGGTGTTGCTTGAATTAAAGATGAAAAGCTCATCTTTAACACTGACATTATTGCTGGAAGTGGTTCTTTCTTACTGCCTGCTAAAAATAATTGTTGACATAGTTTTTACTTCTTGATTTTGGTTTATTTCAGTTCCCAAGATGCCTGCTTAGTCAATGTGATCAAACTCATAGAACCTGAGGCCTAACTATTTTAGTCACTGAAACTTTCTGTCTTTTATCTCATTCTCTATGAATAATTCATCTGTCTGCACAGCCTCTGAAGCAAATCCTCTTTATATAAAAAAAAAAAAAAAAAAAAAAAAAACAGGGAAAAACATAGCAGAGCAGAATAAGTGCCCGTGAAATCTCAGGTTTGCCCTCAGAAACAGACTAAGATTTTGAGGGAGTTTCTGTTTCTTGTGACTTTTTAGCTGGCAGAGAACTATGGATTTATTTTATGAGCTGTTGCCTGGAAGAAGTAATGACATCGAGATTTAAGTGTAATACTGTACATGTTCTTGGTCTGGGTATTACATTCTGTGTTCCTGTGTTAATTTCTAGAATAGTCTATATGTTTTTTCACTTACAACTTTAAAAACTGAATTTTATGGTGATATTTACAGTACACAACATGCAGTTATGGGATGCATATAGAGTAAAATGGTTACCATATGGGTTTAGAACTTAAGCTCTCGGGATTTCATTTATTTATTTATTTGATTTTGTCTCTTTGTGTGAGATGGAGTTTCACTCTTGTCTCCCAGGCTGAGTGCAATGGCACGATCTTGGCTCACTGCAATCTTTGCTATTCCTGCCTCAGCCTCCCAGTAGCTAGGATTTTACAGGCGTGAGGAGTGTGTCACCATGCCTGGCTAATTTTCATATTTTTAGTAGAAACGGGGTTTCACCATGTTGGCCCGGCTGGTCTTGAACTCCTGACCTCAGGTCATCTGCCCACATTGGTCTCCCAAAATGTTGGGATTACAGGCGTGAGCCAGGATTTGATTTAAAATACGATGGTAGGGAGAGTTCTGAAACACTTTATTTACACAGTGCATATATTCCTAAAAAGGAATGAGAGTTGCATTTTTACAAATAACCATTTTAATGATTTTTTTAAAGGAATGCTTTGGATAATTATTTTATGTGGGTAACTTACCCTTGCTCTGTTTTCTTCCATACTATTGCAGGGCCAATACTTTCACCCATTCTTTTATCATTCATCCCTAATTCAGTCAACAGTGTATCACTCCTGAGTTCAGTGCACTGCGCTGGGCCCTGGTGAGAGCACAGGATGACACGCCCTGATCTTTATATCATCCTAGCTCTTCCCAAGCTCCCCGTCACTCTAGGGCAGGAGACAGGGTGTACATTAGAGTTCTTTTGAATGGGGCCCCTGAAGCTGTGCAGTGCTTAACCTGGACCATGATGTGCAATGGGCTGATTGACAGCATGTGGTTAGGAACGTTTTGATTTTTATTCAGGCTTTACCTGTAACCAAATATTATTTGAGTGGCACAGCCAAAATAATAAGGATCACGGCCCAGTATAAAGATGAAAACCAAGTAGAAAGGAAAGGGATGGAGGAGGACAAAAATATATTAAGATACTATAGATAAGAAATGTTTTGAAAGCAAAACTTTGCTGAAGTGTTTCTGGTGAAGATATCTGGGATTTGCTTCAAAATAATTCAGTGAGAGGAAGGGGGAAAGGGGACTGCCGTAGATGAAATGAGATCGACCCTTAGTTAATGAGAGTTGAACTGGGGTGATGGGTATAGGGGAGTCCCCTCTATTTTTCTGATAATAGAATAATAGAAGTCCTCTCTATTTCTCTATTATTTGAAAATATTCAAATTAATTTTAAATTGCCAGGCTAGCAAACACACAAAAGATTTCCATAGAGTTCCAACAGCCAAGGCAAAGAATAAAATAAGGGGTTATGTATCTCATCATCCAGAAAAGGGAACAGCAGTTTTGAAGAAAATATCTGAATTAGATGTGTCACGAGGGTATTTATTTGAAGAGTGCCAGAAAACGTGTCAATTAATGCAGAAGCATCTGGGGGAATGGGGCAAGGGGTTGCGGGCGAGGCTGGCCCAGGCAGAGAGGAATGCCTTATCACTGACGTTGTTTAGAATGGGCAATGCATGGTGACGATCAAAAGCAGGTGGCCTCCGGTCAGCTCTGTGTTGTTTTAGATTCTCTGCAGGCAATGCCACACTGCCTGCCCATGCCCAGGGTGGACGGCTCCTGTTACCCCCTTCTTCCGGGAGGTGGCCCTGCCCCTTGGCTGTGGTGCTGCCCACAGAGGTTTCTCCATCCTTGGAGATCTGGTAGTTCCTTTGTGGGCTTCTTCTTGCAGGTGCTTTTTCCTGTGAGTTCTCCTTCCTGCCGGTGCTCTTTCCTGAAGGTGTTCCTTTCTGTGAGTGTTCCTTCCTAAGGATGCTCCTTCCTGCAGGTGCTCCTTCCTGAGGGTGCTCCTTCCTGCAGGTGCTCCTTCCTGAGGGTGCTCCTTCCTGCAGGTGCTCCTTCCTAAGGATGCTCCTTCCTGCAGGTGCTCCTTCCTGAGGGTGCTCCTTCCTGCAAGTGCTCCTTCCTGAGGGTGCTCCTTCCTGAGGGTGCTCCTTCCTGTGGGTGCTCCTTCCTGTGGGTGCTTCTTCCTGTGAGTGCTCCTTCCTGTGAGTGCTTCTTCAGCTCCCCGCCACCCATGGGGCCTTGCTCTCTTTCCTTTCCACACTCCCACGTGGTATCCACATCTGTGTCCCAGCCTCTGATTTATCTGGAGTTCCAGATCAGTCTGGCAATTTCCAGAAACCAGGCCATACTGAACAGTCCTACAGGCATCTGAGACTCAGCAAATCCCAGCCTGAGCTCACAGGTTTACTCTCCTGCTCCCCACTTATCCCAGGGGCTTCCCCATCAAAGGCCCTGGCATCTCCATCTGACCAGTGGCCCCAGCCAGACACCCTAGAGATGCAGGGTCTGCCCTGGCCATCCCCAGGGCAGCAGGCCCGTTGATGCCACCTGGGCCCAGCTCTGGGTAACCTGGATAACCTTCCTTTTCTGTCTCCACGGTCACTCACTGGGCTGAGCTCCAGCATCCCCTGGCTTCTTTGCTCTGGAGTGAGGACATTCCCTTCTGACTCACAAATGTGTTCTTCCTCCTTCCCAGCTGGTGACCTGTCCCTTTCAGGTTGGAACCCAAAGCCCTGGCACAGCCTCAGTGCCCACCCGGGATGCCCTGTCCAACCCAGCTCTGCCTTTCTGTCAGCCAGGCCCTGGGCTGCCCTCGCCTTGGCTCCCCCAGCCCCTTGGTGTGGCCAGGTCCTGTGCAGCTCACAGTACAGTCACCCCCTCTTCTGTGTGTTCCCCTGACCCAGATCCCTGTGTCCCCGACACCTGCCCTCTTGCTTACCCAGCCAGTTGCCAGGTCCTGTGATTTGACCCTTTTGTTCCTGACGCCACCACCCTTGCAGAACATGGCCATTATGTTTCATAGAAACTGACGGTTTGTAAGCAGATTTGTAGACTATGGAACCCTTTCTTCCCTTGAAATCTGGAGCAGAAAGTGGGAGGAGACCAGAAAGGGACTAGGAGGCTGGGGAAGGAGACACGCCTCCTGGCGGCCTCTGCTGAGCATGGCTGGGCTGGATGGTGTGCCGCTGCTGTCTTTCCAACAGTCCCGGGAGATAGCTAGAGCCCGCCTCACCGATGCAGACACACTCCTTCGGCAAGTTCAAGTCCCTTAAGGAAGGCCAGAAGGCCAGCGAGGGCCGAGCCAGGACTTACACCCAAGGGGCCAACTGGGAGCCCTATGGTCACGCCCCCCTGCTCTCATCACTCCTGAGGGCAGAGCCAGGACTCAAACCTCAGGGGCCCAACTCGGAGCCCAGTAGTCCACGCTCCCCTCTTCCTGTCATTCTCCAGATGTGTCCTCTCTGGTCCTGGAGTGGCCACACTGCTGCTTCTATTGTGCTGCTGTCTCGAGGCAACAGAGCCTCCTGTGACACACCCAGGCCTGAGGTTCACCCTGTAGCTAAGCCCACTCTCCCTCAAGGCAGTGGTCACCATCAGGCCAGGCCCCTCCCTGGTGGGGGGGCAGCTTCCCGATGGTCACCTGAGGCAGATGCCACAGAACAGGAGGTGCCTGGGCTCCCAGGGTGGCTTCAACCTGCAGTAGCCTGGCCTGACTCAGTGACCTGTGAGGAGCCTGGCCTTGTGTGCAATGTGGAGATTACCCTTTCCACCCCTCTTCCAGCTCCCCCGACTCTTCCACCTCCTCCCCTGTGCATCCAGTCTTAGTCCCAGGAGGCCTGCCTTGATTCCCGACCTGCAGCGTCAGTCCCAGGAGGCCTGCCTCAGTTCCTACCTGCAGCGTCAGTCCCAGGAGGCCTGCTTTGATTCCTGACCTGCAGCGTCAGTCCCAGGAGGCCTGCCTCGGTTCCTACCTGCAGCGTGATGCCCGGTTCATGCCACATTACGATTTGTAGGTCTCTCCATGTGCTCCTTCGACCCTGAGATGGGGGACTGCTTGGCACCTCAACCATCCCCGGTAGCAGGCAGGCTTTCCTTGGTTATTGCCTGGTGTGAGTGTTGGCCTTAGCCCTCCTCCCTCCTTTCGGAGTTAACTCCTGTTTTCCGGATCACTGGCCCAGCACCATTCTTGCCTCTCCACCTCCTCACACAGATAGATGGAGGGAAATACAAACCTGCACTTTCAGGGCTGAGCATCCAGATAGGCCGACACCGTCGGGATGAGTGTGTTTCTGTTTCTCGCCAGGCAAGTTCTCAGTTCAGTGCTGCATCACATCCCTCTCTGTGTGTCCTCCACTGTGCCCAGCTCATTACTGGGCAGAGCAGGCACATGGTAAGTAACGAAGGAGTCATCTTGTTGAACTAGAAATGTTGTCACTGATCTGTTTTCTTTTCTTTTTCTTTTTCTTTTTTTTTTTTTGGAGACGTTGTTTCACTCTTGTTACCCAGGCTGGAGTGCAATGGTGCAATCTCGGCTCACTGCAACCTCTGCCCCCTGGGTTCAGGCAATTTTCCTGCCTCAGCCTCCTGAGTAGCTGGGATTACAGGCACGCGCCACCATGCCCAGCTAAGTTTTTGTATTTTTAGTAGAGACGGGGTTTCACCATGTTGACCAGGATGGTCTCGATCTCTTGACCTCGTGATCCACCCGCCTCAGCCTCCCAAAGTGCTGGGATTACAGGCGTGAGCCACCGCGCCCGGCCCACTGATCTGTTTTCTAAACCAGTGTTTGGATATCAGATGCACCGTTAATCTGCATTTGTATATTTGAGATTTGGCAACAGGAATCTAACTGGCTTTCAAACAAAAAGCACTGAGCTGCTTTATGTCTGCTTAAAGAATACTTACAAGTTTTTATTAACATATGCAATTTTAATTGTAATTACTATTATTAATTTTCTTATTACAAATGCAGCCCACGATGATTACATAAAAAATAAGCATACGTAAGCCAAGAGGATAAAAAGAGAGATGACGCAGAATCTCATCCCATTTTGGCACGCTTCCTTCCCATCTCTTTTCTGACATGCTTGAACTTCTGCCTGGTGGTTTTCTTTGTATAGGAATGGTATGCCTGCCCATGAGCCAGAGAATTTCTGTACTCAGCCTACTATGTGTTATCAGCTTCTTCATTACTTTCCTTGGGAGGAGTAGATACAGCCAGCTTATGCGGTCTTTACTGTAAAATAGCTGCGTGTTTATTCTCCCATCATACACACGCAAAGATAACAATGATATATTTCCCCTTCCTTAATCTCTTCTCTTTTCCTTTATAGAACCTTAGGGGATACGGAGTTATGTATACGAAGGATCATAAAACACCAAGTGCAATGTAAACACAGTTGCCACTCACTCCTTTATCTATTAGTGTAAATCACAGACCGCTTCTACAGTAAGAGAAGCACATTTCCAATTCAGGTGGGACTCACCTGAAAATGTCCAAGTGGCGGGAGTCCCCTCATTAGAAACATGTGGTTCTACTTCCCTCCTATTGATTAGGACATTTGGTTCACAAGTGTTCGATAATTGCAGAGAAAGCCCACGAGATGGTTGAGGCTTTTGGAGGCCCAGGCTCCATCTGCCTTCTGTCTCCTGCAGAGCATGTCTGTCTCCAGCCTCTCCCTCCTTCCTAGCTCCCATGCAGTCCACGACACAGGATCCTTAACACTATGCTCCCTTTCCGCAGTGCCTACCCAAACCATGTGGGCCCTGCCGTGCCTCTCTACCTTTCTATCTCTTTCTCCACTCCTCGTGCCTGCTGGTTCTTTTAGTCTTTGTTTTTTGACAGAGTTTTGCTCTTGTTTTCCAGGCTGGAGTGCAATGGCACAATCTCAGCTCACTGCAGCCTCTGCCTCCAAGGCTCAAGCAATTCTCCTGCCTCAGTCTCCTAAATAGCTGGGATTATAGGAGCCCACAATGACACCCAGCTAATTTTGTGTTTTTAGTAGTGACAGGGTTTCCTCCATGTTGGTCAGGCTGGTCTCAAACTCCTGATCTCAGGTGATCCACCCGCCTCGGCCTCCCAGAGTGCTGGGATTACAGGTGTGAGCCACTGCACCTGGCCAGGGCCCACTGGTTCTTATCCCTCTCACTGCTACTTGTGCTCCCTCCCCCGCAGCAGGGCCTTGTCTGGAGCTGACTTGATGTGGACTCCACTGTATCCGGCACGCACCCTCAGCTTCTCCCTGGTTCTGCGACAAGTCTCCTCTAGCATCCTCTGTGTCACTCCTCGGGGTCCTCTCCTGCCTCTTCGGAACTGCGTCTCCTCCACTCGGGTCTGAAATGCTGGCACTCTCTGGGTTCTGCCCTTGGTTATTCTTCTCCTGCACACCCTGGGCCATGGGGACCCACCCGTGAACTCCCACCTCTTCACTAATGAAGTCCAAGTGCACATCTCCCACAAACACCTGTCCCCAGAGCCCAGGCCCAGGCCCCTTGAATTGACTGTGGCAGGGGACACTTTCCGCCTGGATGTCTTCCATGTGTACCCCAAATGTAGCAGGAACATATCGAGGTGCCACATCTTTCCCCCACAGACTCTCCCGACTGCCCCCGCCCTTCCTCCCTCTGCCTCCATCCGTGACCCCACTCACCCACTCACTCCTCTTTGCTCCCATCTTGTGGAATTTATATCCTAAATATTTTTAATATTCCTTCTCTTCCTCCCTAGTCCTACATTGTTTGTCTAGTCCCAGCCTCCTCATGTTGCCCTGGGCTACAGTAAGAGCCACCTAACTATATGATAGGCCATCTTCACGAGTCACTCGTTTTGCTGCACACGTGCCAGCTGAGGATGTATTTATTGGACTATAAGAGAAAAAGAGTGATGAAAGGTTGATATCTGAGATGCTGGCCTTAGGAGTTGAAGGGACAGTGCAGGTGTTAGCTGAGGAGGAGGAGAACACAGAGACAGCAGATTGCTTGGCTCCATTTGGGGTTTTTTGATGGTGCTGGTGAATGTATCATTTGCCTATTGCTGCTCTAAAAAAATTGCTACAAACTTGATGGCTTCAAACATCAACTTACTGTCGTGCCGTTCTGGAGGTCAGAAGTCCAAAATCAGTCTCACTAGGATACGGGCAGGGTGTCGGTGGGGCTGTGTTCCTTCTGGAGGCTCTGGGGGAAATCCCATTTACTTGACTTTTTTTTAGCTTCTAGAGGTTGTCAGCATGCCCTGGTTCTTGACCTCATCCTCCGTTTTCAAAGCCAGCAATGTGGCACCTTCTAATTTCTCTTTCTGACTCTGACCCGTCTGCCTGTCTCTCTTATAAGGACCTTTGTGGTTACGTTCGGTCTACCCAGATAATCTCCTTCACCTCCAGCTCCTTCATGTAATCACATCAGCAGAGTCCTTTTGCTAAATGAAGTGATGGATTCACAGGTTCCAGAAATTAGGATGTGTACGTCTTTGGGGAGGCCAGCATTCAGCCCGTCACAGGAAACAATGGGGTGAGGGACACTCATCTCCAGAGTTGCTTTCAGTCATATGAAGTTTGCGGTATCTTTTGGACATTCAGGTAGAGATGTCAGAAAGGCAATTAGTTATTCTAGAATTCAGGGCTGAGAAAGAACAGCTGGGGATCAAAAGAATCTACATTGAGACTAGACTGAGTCACCTAAAGAGAGAAGACATGGAAGACAAGTGGGTCCTGGACCAATCCCATTCATCCTTTTGTGTCTCCTCCACAGCCCAGCACGCTGAGGTCAGAAAGAGGAGGAGGTGCCAACAGAGAGCAGCTGCCCCGAGGCAGGAAGGAGCTCAGGACCTAACGCATTGCCAGGAGGAGAGAGTAGTGGGCTGGCCTTGTAGCACTGTGGGGAGAATAAGATCAGGAAAAGAACCTGTCTTTCCATTTGAGCAGAGTGGGTAATGGGTGACCTTGGTGGCAGCCCTGTTGGTAAACACAGGAGTCCCGCAGCAGGGCCAGGAGAGGATGGAAGGTAAGGAAGGCAGCACGTCACGACCAGTCATGGGAGGGGAGTGGCTACGGACCGCGCAGTAGCTAGAATTACGGACAATGGCAGTTTCACTGAAAAGATAGCTATCGTTAAGACATTTGTATGGTGTAAGGGACCCAGTAGCTTGGACTCCTTTTTTTTTTTTTTCCTACTAATCTATTTCTGTTGCATTATTTCCTCCCTCCTAAGACTTCAAAGTTCCTGAGAAGACAGCAGTATAATAAAAACCCTGGGGAAAGGAAGACAAATGTGCCAACACAGAGAAGAAAAAATATACTGAATAAATCTCTCGCAAACTTTAATCTTAGTGGACTGTACTATTCTAGCAAACCTCAGACTCTAGTGGATTGAAGAAATTATTTTTTAAACTAAAGCTATTAAAGTGCAAGTGTATATATATTTACAGTATATGGCAAGCAAAAGTCAACAGGGGACTCAGAAAATGCTTCCA